AAGAGGAGGAAGAGTTCGGGGCGTTCGGGGCGTTCGAGGAGGAGGAGGCGTTTCCTGAGGTGTTTAAGGGAGACGAAGAGACGGCTTTGACAAGTGGAGCAACGAAGTTCAACCTGGACGAAGACTCCGAGGAGGAGGGAGAGCTCTTCGGCTACAGGAACGATGAAGGGCAAGAGAGTAGTGGCTCCTCTCTCTCCCGCCCTGCAGTGGACGAGGAATTCCTGCAGAACTTGCGCGCTCAGATGCTGACGGCCAGCATGGAGGAGCTGAAGACTTGCGCCCTCATCCTGGAGCAGTTCCAGGCAGCGGCGGGTGCGGAAAATGCGCACCCTCAGTTGCAGGAGGAGGTTCTCAGGAGCAGTAGGATGGAGATGTACATCTCAGGTGCCGCTGCCCTCTCCTCCGTCGCGTCTCGCCTAGCATGGAAGCTTCAGGTCTCTGTGGACAAGGACGAGCTGCAAGCTCGCGTGCTCTCCTCTGGCATCAGGGAGTGGCGGCAGTGGTGGGAGGCTCAGGTGGCCGGGGAGGAGGAGGCAGCTTACAGGGCAGGCAAAGAATCCTGTGTGGTTTGCGGAGTGGGGTTGGAGGTGGTGGGGAAGGGTAGGAGGGAGGAGGCGAGGGAGACGATCGGAGGGAGCGAGGAACTAGTGTGTCATGGCAGGTGTCTTTCTTGGGGGCTACGGCACTGGCGGGCTGATCTGTTGAAGTTGAAAGTCAAGGAAAGATGAGAGTTCGTAGCGGCGATGCGAGCGGGGAGCGGGGGATGTTTCAAGTTGCTTGTAGTGATTTTCCTTTGCATCTCGTTCGTTCTAGTTTGCTTCTCTCGTGTTCGACGCGTTCGATTTCATCTTCAAACCTGATTTCCGCGATAGCTGGACTATCTGTCAAGCAAGGAGGTCACAAAGATGCTGCACGCACTATCGCATCAGCACAAACAGTAGCACGATCATCAACATCAACACACTCCTCGCATGACGATCAAGATCACAAAACTTCAACTTCCGCTCTCATCTCAAAGTCATCGTCTACCAGGTTCTCGTAGCGCCGTATGAGGTTCGTGGCTTCATTCATACTCCTCTTTATCTCTTCATTCTGACCAAAAAAGCATCAGCCTCCTCCTCCTCCTCCTCCTCCTCCTCCCGTCTCCTCCTCCTCCCTCATGTGCCTTCACCTCCTTCCTCAACTGTGCATTCTCGTGGACCAGCCGCTCATTCTCCAGCCTCAGATCTCCCTGCATGCTCCGTAAGTCGATCGCTTCCTACGACTCCCCGTTACCTTCACTCTGACATCTGGTTGGAACGACCGTCTCCTGTTGTCCTCTAGTGGCATGTCAGGGGAGTACACGACAGCAGTCGCAACCTGACTGGAACAGTCTCCTTCCTCTCCATTCAGGGAAGTCCATTAACTTCCGCTAATGCCGACAGCAGCAAAACCTGCTCTGCATGTCAGCAAGCTTCAATATGATAGGAAGGACTCGCTGTCTTTGTTTTCTCCTCGTCCTATCGTCTCCTCCTCTTCCTGCTCCTGCTCCTGCTGCCCTGCTGCTGCTACCCAGGGAGCCCCCTCCCTGCTCCCTGCTCCTGCTCCTGCTCCTGCTCCTGCTCCTGGGTCCCCTCCCTCCTCCCTTTGATCCCCTTACCGATTCAACGGCCTCCCACCCCTACCCCTTCTTCTCAATTTTACCACCCACCTCTTTGACCAGATCGTCTGCCCGACGGTCAGGTCAGACTGAGGAAAGGCAGGAGGGAGGGAGGGAGGGAGAGTTGGGTCAGTCCTGTCGCTCTATGGCTGCCCTCCCCCCCTCCCCAGCGATGCAGAACGACATCCTTGTCTTCGCATCCTATCTCATGCTCTCATGCCGCAGCTGGCGCATGCCTATCCCTTGGAGAGTCGCTGGTACCACAGGATCGACATGCTCGGCCCTGGCATGGCGTCACATCAGCAGCATAAGAAGGGTGGGCCCATGCTGTGCACCTTTGCTCTTCGAAGGTGCTTCCTGCAGCTCGGGCTGTACAGCTCGGCAGAGCTCTTGGATCTCAAGAGTGACATTCCTTCCCTTCCTCGAGCCATCGTTCCTCTAGAGGGTCAACAGGAGGTCAAACTCCCGGCAAGACAACGATCCCAGCACACCTGCTTCAGCTCCGCCTTCTTCGCCGTCTCAGCTCCTTTCGTCTTCTTGTTCACGTTGTAGACTCTCTGTCTCCTCGTTCATCTCCCGCCCCCCACCCGCAGACTACCTGATGCCCCTTGCACAACTTCACCCCATTCGAGAAATCCGCGGGGGTTGTCGTCTTGTTCAACAAACTCTCACAGCTCACTGTAGAACAAGTCTTCAGTTCACCTCTACCATCCCATCCTCCTCCTGCATCCTCCTCCCCTTACCTCCCCCCTCATCCTCCTCCTGCATCCTCCTCTCTATCCCTCCGGTTCTTGTCATCTCAGTCCACCTCATAGCCAAATCATTACCTTTGGAGTTGAAAACTGTCTGGTAGTAGGGAGCAGAATGTGCGCAGCACCCTTCTGGAAACTGAAAGGAGCAGTTCAGCAGCAGAGTTGGGACAGCAACAAACGGCACCTGGCACTTGTTGCGCTTAACAAGCACTTGAGACTTCTTCTTGTGTTTCGAGCAGAATTGAGCGCTGAGAAAATCCATGAGCATGGCGGCAAGAGCAGGAGCGAGGGGGCTTGCCGTCTGCCAGCTACATCGCCGTAGGAGGGTGACAGGAAACAGCCTGGATGCTCGCACCTGAAGCAGGCAGGGATCAGGTCAGAGTAGAGCCAGCGGCGATGTTATCCACCTCTTGGAAGCAAGGTACACATGCACCCCCTTCTGCCTGTGGCTGTTGGCAACGGCCGTGAGCATCGCAAGAGATGAGCTACTGTGCTCGTCTCACTCTTTGCAGAAGAGCGGAGCTCCTGCTGGACTCTCAAACACCACCAACAGCAAGGCGAGCACGGAGCACCTTGGGATGACAGCCCGAACTTCGCAGGATTCCTGCAGCCGTCTGGCGTCTGACAGCGCTTGCCTGCCATGGCCGGTCAGGCAACAAGGATGGATCAGAAAAAGCGCCTCACTCCGCAGGTCCTCGTCGGCAGGACGGCGGTGGATGGCGCAGAATAGCTGCCTCCTCTTGGACCTGACGAGCAGCACACCCCTGTCAGCTCAACTTCCTCCTCCGCATCGCAGGTTCACGTACACGCTGTCGAACATGCCATACTTGGCATGCCGTGTGCAGCCCTGCAAACGCTCGTTGGCCAGTATGCCAGGCATACACACCTCGGGTCCCTCACCCCATGGATGCAGCGAGAGCTTCTCTTCCCGCCACCCCCAGCAGACGCCGAGCTCAGCTCTTTCCGGACAGGGTCTTTGTACCTTGCAAGCCCCATCACACGTTGAGCGCCAGCGGCTTTCTTACCAGACGATCCTCCTCTCGTTGACACTTGCGGTGGTGTTGTACGTCCTGCACACAAGAACGAAAGAATCTTCACCTTCAACTAGCACAACTTCTTCCTCTCGTTAACCCTCTTCGACCCCTTCGTCCCATTTGACCCTCCCTCTCCATGTACTCCATCGGCGAGCTACCCCCTTCCTTCCCCTAGTACCCCCTTCCTTCCCCTAGCTACCCCCTTCCTTCCCCTAGCTACCCCCTTCCTTCCCCTATCTCATCTCCTCCTGCACGCCCCTCCTCTTAGCACCTCCTGATGGCTCTCATGGTCTCGACATCATCGGTGTAGATGTAATCATTCCCGCCGTCCTTGCTCTCCTCACAGACGTTTTCTTCTCCTCTTTCTGCAGGTGAAGTAGTTCCCTGTTGCATCCCTCGCTCCTTGCTCGAACCCGCTCGCACGTCCCCGCTGATGTTGCTCGTCGTCGTGTTCACCCTCCATCGTGCATCGTCCGAGCCAAGAGGAGAGCTGAGACAAGACGCGCAGATGAAGCTGATCGTCATTGTCATAACAACCATCCTCACGACAACGCTCAAAACTCCTTTTTTCTTCCTCGGCATCTTCAAAGTCTTCTTATCCACCTGCGACCACTCTCGTTGTTCCGCCCTCAGAGGCCGCAACCCCCCTCCTCCTCGTCCTCCTCCTCACCTCCTGTTCAGCCATGAGCTGCAGTTCCAACTTCCTCTCTATCTCGCTCCTCCTCCCCGCCTCGTCCACCTCCTTCCTCCCTGCTTGCTGCAGTCAGGGCGGATCCCCGCATTACAACTTCCCTCTCATTCTTGCACCTATTCCATCAAGTAATTCTGGCTGCTGCCCTGACGAACCAGGGTCCATAATATCCGAGGCGGACTCGATTTGTATCCTCTAAGATGAGCATGCCGTTGATGCGCCTTCTTGAGGAATGCTGAGCGACCGAGAGCAGATGGAGAGGGAGGGGAGGGGAGGAGAGAAGGAGAGGAAGAGGAAGAGGAAGAGGGAGGGGAGAGGGAGGGGAGAGGAGGAGGGGGAGGGGAGGGCGAGGCGAGGGCGAGAGCGACAGAGAGGAGAGGGAGAGGGAGGAGGGATAGCGAGGGTGGAGTGGGCA